CATGGCGCCACCAACACATCGCCCTTCTTTGCACGGCCAAAGAGCCGCATGCACCGACTCTTCCGTAGCCTCTAGCGAAGCTTGAGCAGCTCCTCCACCTCCAAGATATTGGTTTCTGCCTTAAGTCTGAATCATCTCAGCTCCTGCCGTGGCCAAGTATGGGATTAACGTCGCAGGGGAAGGACTCTGTGCTCATCGTCCCCAGGAACCGCCCAGTCAGGGCTCAGGATTTGAGTAGTTTGAGGGGAAAGAAGGGGTAGAAGAAGAAGCCGGACTAGGGATGTAATTTTGGGTGGTGAAGGATGAAGCAGCTGAGGGATGGAGAAGCGGGCTGGGAGAGCCCAAGGATGTCGCCCGGGCTTGGGGCTGGTGCCTGATGTCTCGAGGCGCTGCCTGAAACACCATTGTGCTAAAACCGGCTCCGCAGCTGGAAATCACCCCCATCCCTCCTGTGGCTCACGCAGCAAAACCAAGCTGCCGGATGGGTCTTCTCACTCCTTCGGATCTCCTATCAGAGGGCGCTGCGGAGAGCTTCTCTGATGCTCCCTCCCTACTGAAGGGCTGGATATTTTTAAACTGGTCGGGGGGAACTCGCAAAGCCGGAGTCAAAAAACAAAGAGTGACAACAACAGCAACAACAACAAAATTAAGATTTGTTGTTTGGTTCGTTGTTTTGGGTTGTTGATTGTTTTTTCCAGTAATGAAGACTTTCAAAAATGAGAAGGCATGATGCAAATAACACGGCTGCTTAAACAACCGTTGACTGCGCTGAATGGAAGGGAAGGAGCTGCGCTGCCGAGCTCATTTGTGGTAAATACAGGGCAGCTATTTTTCCATCGATATTATTGTGCAACAGCTCTGCTCGCAGCCCAGCCAAGACGTTACGATGAGGAAGCTGAGGGGGAGGAAAGATGAGGGAGGTGAGGGAAGCGTTGGCGAGATTTGTTGGCCGATAACAGAGCAGGCGTCTGCCAAGGGCTGGTGAGACCTCACGGGAGGGGACACATCAAGGTGAGACGTTCTAGGCTTGGGGGCACGGAGAGCAAACCCCAAACATTCAAGACGGATGCTGCACCTTCCACCGTAACTCTGCACAAGGTCTATCAGGCTACAGCACTTTGCCAGCCCCGGCGCCGAGCGTCGCACAGGACGTCACCTGCTCCATCCTTCCAACACGTTCCACTCGCTACTGCAAGAAACTAAAACCACCGAGAAGGACACTACCTCATCCCCAGCGATCGCTCCATCTGAACATGGTTTGAGGATGGTGGGACCTCCTTGTGCCCCCCACCCCGGCAGCAGCGATGGGGGTGTGCTCCACCCCCACAAACCCTGGGACCAGCGCGGGTGAAGGCATTGGTGAGACCTCAGAGAGGCTCTGAGACTTTAGTGCAACGTTTATGGCACACGCAAAGATGGAGAGGGCATAAGAGAGCAGGGAAGGTTGGGGAGGGTGGACAGCAGAAGGCATTGCTGGGTGGGATGAAAAAGATGGGACAGGGGGTGTTAGGGAGGGAAAAAGTAGGAGGAGGAGGAGACAGAGGGCAAACAGAGCATCCTTCTTCATCAGTGGGATGAGGTGGTGCTCAGCCACCTCCGCCGAGCTCTGCGGCATCCTGCCCCGGGGACCACAAGCCACCCATGCTGCCCGGTGCAGGGGCCAATTAGCACAAACGAGGGCTCATCTTGCCCTCCTCTGCTCCTCCTTCTTGGCCTCAGCATCAAAGGCAGGAAGAGGGGAGCCTGCCTCACCCCTGGTTTATGCAAAACACCCGAGAGTGAGGCGCGACAGCCAGCGTCCCGAAAGCATCAGTAGGACACTCACCCAGCACACTTGGAGGTTGGATTGACGCCCCTCGCTCCTGCCAATCTCTGATTTTGATACGTATGCAAATGCTAAGAAATAAAAGAGCCCCCACGATTCAAGCGACATCTCTTCCTCGCTGCAATTAGGTTTCTAATCCTCATTTACTTATGCTAAAGCGGTTCAAACGCTGGTGAGGGGGGGAAGTTAGAGGAGCAGCAAACAAACCAAGGCTGGTGAGCTTGCAGAGCCTCGTCATGTCTCCAAATTAAAGCTAACTTCGACTGCCATTGAATTATTCAGGATGGTTCCTGTCAAGCAATTATGCTCAATAAGGGCCTGAAAACGCAATTTGCTCTCATCTGTTGCTTGACAGCTCAACGAACGGGCTCGAGGGCCCATCCGAGCTGGTGGGGAAATACCGGCACATGGCATTCGGGTGGCAACACGGGCTCCCAGAAAGAGCATCTCTTCAGGGAGGTCCAGGACTTGGCTGATGGAAGATGAACAAACAGGGAATAAATGGTCCTGGGCACAGCTGCTTGTTCTTCCAGGATGTTCAAGGCTGGGAAGGGAGATGCTCTGTACAACCAGAGCCTCTCTGCATTCCCGGCTCCAGACGGGAAAGATCCCGACCCCAGAGCATCCCCAAACCTGAGGCTTTCGGGAGTGAGGAGCAAAGCCAAGAGCAAAGAGGCACCGGGGAGGGCGAGAGGGAAAGGCTGATTAGATACGCGCCGGGGCGAGCGGCTAAATTAACAGGAAGGTGGAGAT